CGTATCTTCACTGCTTCCCCCCAGGAGGAGACAACAACTGGAGCTGTTCCTGAAGCGGATTTCGAGCCACAAGAATGTGTACCTATGCGATCGGTTCTACGACTTCCTATGTCTGGATAGCATCACCAAATGTCTCTTTAAGCTAATGTGCACCGAGATGACTGACTTGATTAACCTGCAGAAGTTACTTAAGAAGATTAACTACATTCTGTTTCTATCTCGGAGCAACACGCTGAAGAGTGCAGAGTGTGACATTATTAACTTCCTCTTTCATCTGAAGAAGAACCTACAGCTGAATAACGAAATGAAGTTTTTTATCCTAAATGTTTTTCTGCACCACTTGACTTATACGAAGACGCCTGAGAATCTTCTGAACGTCCCCCTTATGAAGTTCGCCTTCGAGATCATATACGACAATCTGTGCGGTAAGCTGGATTGGCAATGGCAGTGGCAGGGCGTTCACATGGGCATGCATCATCCCAATGTGCATGTCCTCACGTGTCTGCTACCATTCTCTAACGTATTCCCCCCTTCCGCTTCCCTCCCAACAGGCGATAACATCAATGATGTGCTGCTGAAGACGGCCTCCGAAACGATCCTTCGAATCGTAGACAAGAAAAACGACGTCTTCCTGGAGTACCTGCAGGTGTACAACTTTAAGGAGATATTTTCCATTTTTAGCATCCTCAGTAGAAGGAAAAGGAAGAAGGAGAGTAAAACGGATAACATCACCTTCAACGTCTACATCTTAATGTCGCTGCTCCTCCTTTCTTCGATTCACCTGAACGCGATTCAGAACTACTTCTCAGTGAAAAACAAGTCAAACAAGGGAATCGTAATACTAGGCTTCATGTATGAAAGCCAGAATATAAACATCCAGGTGATATGTTGTATCATTTTATCTCTTCTCCTAATGAACGATAAGATTAACGATGAGGAGGTGGTGCAGAAGACAAAGATGTCGATCCTCTTGATACAGAAGGAGATCCAGAATCTGAAAGACGTCGACTACCAGTTGATTGAAATAATTTGCAGCAAGAAGAACATCAGTTTGCTCAATAACATTCTGGTGGCCCTCCTCAGAGGGAAGAGCGTCGTCCGCCAGGTCGGCCTTGGCGAAATGGGCGAAATGAGCGAAAATGGACTCGTTGACGAAATTGGCCCCGTTGACCGCTCCGTCGGGGCCCCCCTCCATGGGAGCTTCTCCACGGAGGGAAACCCCCTTGAGAAAGATCCCTTCTATGAGCAAAAGGTAAAACACGCAGATTTCTCAAACAATGATATCATCCTACAGTTTATCCTTTTCATAATAAATATTGGCATTAGTGAGTTTTTCCTCCTTAAGAGAAATTACAAACATAGGATGAGAATGAAGGAGCTGAAGTTGAGACTGAAGAAGAAGCAGCTGAGGGTGGAGAGGCTGCGCAGGAGGAGGGAGAAGAAGGAGCGTGCCATGCTTATGCTGAAAGATGATCAGGGGAATACTTCTGCGAGACGACCTCAAGGAGACAATACTACGAAAGATGCAGAGACTTCTTCCTACAATCGTAAGGAACCGACTCAGCGGTTGTACGATTACGACATTGAGAGTGTCGACGAGGATTGTGTGTACAAGAGGGAGTACGTCTCGTATGGTTATGCCGCAGGGAGGGAAACATCATCAGCAAGGGAAGGAAGGAGACGAACCAGGCGAAGAAGACGACGGAAAAGACGAGGCGCCCACACGAGGAGGGATGTACTACACCAGGGATTCACTTCTGGGAGGAGCGAGCAGGGGGGCACTGATGGGGTCAGTGATCTCGAGGGGGAAGAGAACGACAGGGAAGACGATGGAGAAGAGGACGAACAATCGAATGAAGGAAGCGACCTAGACGCAGATACCGGTGAGGATGATCAGACGGATGCGACGTACCGTACGGACGACACTGATGGGTCAGATAGTAAGGATGATTCCGATGAGACGCTCCGTGGAGAGGGGGACGACGCATGGCATCGGGTACCGCGCGAGTACGCGCAGGCGGGAAGGGGACCCGCGGAGAAGGGTGAGGCGGAAGAGATAGCGTCCACGGCCAGCTCCTGTATCTCTTCGTTGTATTCCTTTTCAAGCGATTGCAGTAGTGGCGGCGAGAAGGAGGATATCCTGGGGGGCAGCGGCGTGGAGGAGAACCGCGTCGGGGAGAACCAGCCCGGTGCAGAGAGGCGGGCGCCTCCAATCGACATCGACATGAGCGCCGTGAGGGACGTGACGTACGAAGAGGAGTTTAGCGTGGATTCGGGAAGCATCAAAGATGATATTGAGTATCTGGAGGGGGAGCATAGTAGGAACGGCGGCCCGCGAAAGGACAGAGGTGATAGCGGCGGGATGAGAAGTGGCAAGCAGGGCGATGTCACAAATGAGAAGCGATCGAAGGGACAGGAGGAGAAGCTCACCGAACCCGTCGCGATGAAGGAGTCGGACGAAGTGGAAGCCATCAAGGAAGACATTCGAGCGCTTCGAGATGCCAGGAAGAAATTCGCGAAGCGGATTAGAAGAATCAACGAGCAAATTCTGCTGATCCTATGCAACGAAAACATGGTGCAGAGTATATTTAAGTGCGCCAATTTGGACAATGAGAAGATCCGAGTGTACGCTTGTCTTATCCTTTCGTACGTACCGAACATCAGTGAGGTGGTGAGTTGCACGTCCGTCACCCCAGGTGGGGTGGCTAGCAGTGGAGGGGCAGGTAGCATTGGAGGCGCCGGTAGCAGTGATGGGTACCTAAAGCTCTGCAGAGAGGAGGGGATGGGTGCGAGCACCAACAATGGTTTCCACCTCGAGGGCCCAGGAACGACACTCCCCCTTCCGGACATGCATCTGGGAGAGTTCGGCCCGAGCGGGGATGTAGGAGGAGGAGTGGGAAGACAAGGCAGAGAAGCAGGAAGGGACGTAGCAGGAAGAGATGTAGCAGGAAGAGACGTAGCAGGAAGAGACGTAGCAGGAAGAGAAGTCGGACGAGACGGACTTCCACACCAAGAGGACATCTGCGTGGTGGTAAATCCAAACGTTATGCTAGCGAAGAAGAACAACAAGAATTTCGTCTGCAGTGTCGAGGGGGACTACTACAATTACATCTATAGGTTCGAAATTTTGAGCACTCTCCTGAGGTATCTATTCAGCGAGACGTCCTTTTATGACAACATCCTGCAGCATGTGAGGAAGTTCCTTGAGGAGCAAAGGCACCTCGTGAATCTGAATCATTTTAAGATAAAGCAGACGGAGCTGATTAATATGGTTTCGTTTTTGGACATGCGGAGTGAAAGGCGGAATGGAAGGCGGAGGAAGAAGGGGCGAAGTGGGAAGATTAGGGCGAGAGACAGGAGCGGGCGAAACGGGGATGGCCTGAAGGATCGGATGAGCAGCCCCTCGGAAGTAGGACACGGAATGGAGGAGGAAAGGAGACCCCATTCAGCAGTGGCAACCCCCGGTGAAGCTACTACCGCTGCTGCCTCTTTCGCCACGACCCCTGGAGGAGGCACCCTACTGCAGTATGAAGCCACCGGAGAGGATAAAAAAAACAACTACCAGTGTGTACCGTACGAACCGTCGCAAATATATGACCACATGGATTATGTGTTCCGTTACGTCACCAATGTGAGGAAACTAGGCTTACTAAATAATCTGATTGTCGAGTTGTACACCAATCTGAGGAAGAAAGTAAGCAAGGCAGATGTGCAGTTCCTTTTGGGGACGCTGAACAAGAAGGTAGAACAAAGGGAACACCTTCGAAGAGGCATCCTCAATCTGAAGGAAAAATATGAATACGTGAATGTGACGTATAATGAGTACATTAATCTCCAGTACGAGACGAATAAGCAGATGGGAGTGATGAACAAACTGCTAGAGGAGTTAGAAGAGATAGAGAAGAGGAGAAGAAAAGCGGAGAGAAATCACAAGGTGGTACACACCAATGTGTGTAACTATAGGAAGAAACTGATTCATGTGGAGAAAATGATTGAAGAGAGTCCCTCCATTAAGAAATGCCTTTACGAGGAGATAAGCAATATAAAAAAGAATGTAGCTCTCTACAAGAAGGATAAGAAGAAGATATCCCTTCTGATTCTTCTGAATAAGTTCTGCCTTGATGACTTCCACACTGTTAGTAGCAAGTTGAAATGTCTCAACACGTCGATTGCGAATCTGGAGCTTCTTTTTAACGAATTCGAGAGGAATGGAGATCTCATCGTGAGTGAGCTGAGTTACCTTATCTGTACTGATTTGATTTTAGTTCAACTGCTAGGTGGCTTGCTTAACATCACAGTGCATAATGATAACCTGCCCCATCTCATTGCGCGCGCCAATTGTGTAAGCAGCTGGAAGGAGAATTCCTGCGGTGAGAGGAAGCTACTTATTGTGAATCGAGACAGGGGGGTGTCCCCTGCGGGAAAGAGGAACATCCTCCACTTCGCGCAGTCTAGTGACTTGATGGGTGACGAGGAAGAGTATGGTTACTACGATGCGCGTGATGGGAGGCGGGTATCTCGGGGTGGCACTCTTTCGCGGAGGGGTCAGCACGGAGCAGATGTGAACGGCATCGGCGGCATGGGTGGGATGAGCGGAATGAATGGAACGAATGGCAAATCACTACAAAGCAGCGATAGCGAGGTGGGGCGCGCGACTGCAAACCGATTCGACCGAAGGAAGGGCGAGAAGATTTCCAAACAGAGAAGGGGCCGCCCCGTCGGCAGTGATGAGGAAGACGCGATTTACCCTCATGAGGGTAGCCAGTTCGACGGGTCGCCCAGCCGAAGGAACCGTGGCGCGATGGCGAGGAGTGGGCTATACGACGAGGAGGACCCTATGGGGGCACCGCATTATGGCAGGGCCGACCTCTCAGACCACCCCAACCGAGGCGACTTCCTGCCAATGGGCAGCCACCACAGCGCGTCGAACCGGCTGCGGGCGGAGGGCGCCAGGTACAACGACCTAGCGAGGGAGCATCTGCGCCGACAGGGACGCCCAGGCAGAGGCGAGCATCCTACGTATGACGATGAGGATGACGATGGGGCGGAAGGACTGATGAGTGACCCCCATGATATGCACTCGATGACGAATCCGGAGAGGAGGAATCTGGCAGAGGGGGATCAACCGGAAGTGGACGAATTGGACGATTTCGCTGACATCGAATTTGTCTCTAGTGATGAGGAGGACGCAGAGCTGAAAGGGAAGATCCATGAATACAACATGTTTAAGAGCAAGGAAGTGAAGGGGGTCCAGCCGGAGGAAGTCAGCATCGATAGTGACTCTCTCACGAGGGAAGTCTTCGATCAGATACTACAAATCGTGAAGGCGAGGAGGAGAGAACTCGAGAGCATCACGTCCAGCGAGAACAACCAAGTGTATAAGAACATTCACAAGTATAACTCGCTTCTTAACAAATGCAATGTCCAAATCGAAATGCAAAAGCAGCGGTACGCAGAGGTGAGGCAGCAGATCGCCTCCATCAACACGGCCTCCATGGTGAAGAAGTCCGAGTCTATTTATAAGGCCATTCGGGAGTAAGTCTAGAAAGCGGGCGAGGAGAGGCAGCGAGAACGAAAAAAGCGGCTTCCTTCCGTGACTCTGCCCGGCGGAGTCGTGGCCAAGGTCGAAACACTCCCCGTAACGTTACTACCGCGTGACGTCACGACTTAAGCTTACCCAATAACCTCACCACGTAACCTTATGACTTAACCTAAACCCATAACCTCAACACTTAAGCTCACCACATAACTTCTCACCCCATAGCATCACCCCATAACTTCACCCCATAACATCACCACATAACTTCTCACCCCACCTGCAGATGTGACGATAAGGTGAACCTCCTGAACGACGAAGTGAAGCTCGTGGAGAGCGAAAAAAAAGAGAAGCAGAAGGAGATCGCGCTGCACAAGAAAAAGCTGGATAAGAAGGAAAAGGAGAAAAATCAGAAGAAGGAGGAACTGCGTCTTTTAGTAACAGACATGTACAGACATAACAATCAGATCAAGAGGAGATTCAAGAGAGAGCAGAAGGTCCTCCTCCTTGTCTTATATAACTCGTGGTTCTTCTTCCACTACATTTATATCATTTATCTGAACACACTTAAGCTGAAAAACTACCTGGCCTATAAGCACAGCATAAGTGAGGAGTGCCGGGCGTCTGCCAAACAAACCATTTCCAACATCAGCCACTTCTCCGAGCTGCTAGACGAGAATGATTACTGAGGGGGGGTAATACAGTTGAAGTCAGCGCATCCCCGGCAGGCAGTTTCCCCAAATGCCCATCCGTTGTGTTCCTCCCCCGATCACCCACGCGGGTCACGAGGCAAGTGTCACGTCA